GATTGGCGAAACTCTACTACGGATCGCCAATAAAGCAGCCCAGGCCGCCATCTCCTCAGCTACACATGAGTTCTTCCTCCCTCTGCAATTTGGTGTGGCAGTTCGAGAAGGTGGGGAAGCTATTATACACGCGACAAGAGCTTTTGCAGAAGAAGTCCCAAGCACGCTGATCGTGCAAGTAGACCTCGCCAACGCCTTCAACAGCGTGGAACGGCCGGCGATCATCGCTGCGATCGCGGACTCCCCGCTCCGCGGACTCCTCCCTCTCATCCGCCTGTCCTACGGTCACCCCTCGCTACTATACCTCGAGGCGAGCTTTGGCGCCCCCCCGCTGCTCAGCGTGCGGGGAGTACGCCAAGGGGACCCCATGGGTCCCCTGCTGTTCGCGGCAGCTATCCAGCCAGCCCTCCGTGCCACAGCCACGGCCCACCCGTCCGTCCTCTGCCTGGCGTACGCGGACGATGTCACATTCCTAGGCGAGCCGCCAGCCTGCTCCGTCGCCTTCGACACCTTTACTGCCGCGCTGGCTCCCCTGGGTCTCTCCCACAACCCCGCAAAATGCGCGGCCTGGTCGCCAGCGGGTCCGTCACCCACGGCCCTTCCGGCGGGCGTCCCGTACTATGACGAGGGGCTGAAGGTGCTCGGGAGCCACGTTGGGCCACCGGAGGGCGCGGCGTGCTACCTACGGTGCAAACTCACCGAAATCGCAGCGCCGCTGCCGACCATCGTCACTATGGACCCGCAGGTGGCCTGTCTCCTGCTGACGTGCTGTCTGTCCCGCCGCGTGTCTTACCTAGTGCGCACCACACCCATCGCGCCGCTTCTTGCAGCAGAATGGACGGCATGGGTCCAGGAGCTCTTCCACACCTTGCTCCGCGCGTGCGGCCTGCGTCTCCCATGCGGAGAGGCGGAGCTCCGCCGCACCTGGTCCCACGCGTCGCTGCCTCCATCCCTCGGGGGACTAGGACTGGCGGACCCAGCCATCGAAGGGCCCCACTCCTTCCTCACCAGCACGGCTCACGTGCAGGCCCTCCTATCCTCCCTGCCCGGCGTCCCCAGAGGCCCCCTGGCCAGCGCCGTCCGCCCACTCTGCCCGCCGTTCTCCAGCCCAACCTCCCTTCACACCTGTCTGGCAGCGTGCGAGGCGAGCCTGCCCCCGGCGGCTATGGAGTTGCTACAGTCCGAGCGGCGGGAGCCTACAGGAGAACACCTACAGCACCGCCTCTCGCTGGAAGTACAGGGGGCGAGGTACGCGGAGATGCTGGAGGCCTCTCGGGAGATGGAGCTGAACCCACTTGTGGGCCACACCTAGAGGCTCCTGTCCCTCACCGGATACGGAGCTGGGGACTAACTTCTTTCAATACCGCTCAACCCGTCCCTCCACCTCGGCCCCCAACACTTCTCCTTTGCCCTGGCCTTCCGCATGGACCTGCCCTGCCCCGCTCCCCGAGTCTGTGACTGTGCGGACGGATACGAGTTCGAGGACCCACGCCTCCCCAACCACCTCCTCCGGTGCGGGATGGGGCACGGTCGCACAAACACGCACAACGCCCTCCGCGATGAGTGCATCCGCATGGCACGTGACGCGGAGTTCATTGTGCACAAGGAGACGGCAGCATTCAATCCAGTGGACAACCTCACGGCGGACTTAGCCATCCGGGACCGAGACTCTGGCGCGGTATGGATCTGCGACATCACCATCACTGACCCCATCAGCTCCCGAGACCCCACAGCCCGCAAAGGCAGGGGCTACATGGCTTGCGAGCAGGCGGGGAAAAAGATCTGCCACTACCGCAATCGCGCGACCTACGTGGGACTGTTCCCACTGGCGGTCGAAACCTATGGCTGCCCATGTGACGAGGTCCCAAAGTTTCTGAAGCTCCTAGCCCACACCGCGGCCAGGAGGCTCCTGAACGCGGACCCTGCTTCTTACCAGGCGGCGAAACTTCTCCAACAGTTTCGCCAGTGCTGGTCGGTTACCCTGCAGCGCGCTCAGGCCATTGCCTACCTTGAGAAGATTCACGAGGCCGCACAGGCGGACAACCCCCCAGTGGGCAGCCCTGACGCGGATTTCGGTCTCGGGGACTGCTTCGCCATTCTCGAGCCTTGGGCCGAGATGATGTAGGGGGATCTAGTCTAGGGGGGGTTGGAGGGTAGAGGGGGTACTTGGTTGCACCTCTGTCACCATCCCTCGCTTGTACCTAGGTTCCTATTAATAAACGGACCGCTTGAGAGAGAGAGAGAGAGAGAGAGAGAGAGAGAGAGAGAGAGAGAGAGAGAGAGAGAGAGAGAGAGAGAAAGAGAGAGTGAGAGAGAGAGAGAGAGAGAGAGAGAGAGAGAGAGAGAGAGAGAGAGGAGAGAGAGAGAGAGAGAGAGAGAGAGAGAGAGAGAGAGAGAGAGAGAGAGGGAGAGAGAGAGAGAGAGAGAGAGAGAGAGAGAGAGAGAGAGAGAGAGAGAGAGAGAGAGAGAGAGAGTGACGAAAGAAAGGGAGTGATATTGAGAGGAGAAAAAAGGAGAGGGAGAGGGAGAACAAGATAGGCAGAGACATTGCAAAGCAACCACAGTGATGCAGTGATGACGAGCACAAATTATTGCTTGAAAGTATGAAATGCTTGAATGGGAGATTTGTGAAAGGAGTGTTTCAAATATGACACATCTTATGAGAAATTTTTGTGTACCTAAATTGGGAAAAATACCTAATCACGGGTTACACATAAATACAAAACCTTAGTGCTATTTCCATGATGAATAATATGCCATGGTTCATAAAAACAATGAAGACAAGTGCTCCAACTAGCACATTTTGTATTGATCCACCTCATGAACACGTTCCTTTAGTTATACCCAAATCACAATTGATTTAAAAAGCTACAGTCATTTTTTTTAGGGATTAACAATTACGTACACGAGCGATTACACGAGAGTAAAAACGTGACCCAAAATGAATCTTCGAAATATGGACTATCTGCAAAATCCAACAAGCATAGACATAACAGGAAGAGCAAATAGCGTGCACTTAGACAGGAAACAGCAATTTATACAAAAATCCGCAACCGAGGAAGATAATTTCGAGGTATACAAGCGAGCCTACAGGGATAGTGCGGGAGAAGAGGAAGGACCAGAAGGAGAGAGGGAAGGAACAAAAGAAGAGAGGGAGGGAGGAAGGGAGAGAGGGAGCGAGAGAGGGAGAGAGAAAGTGAGAGACTAGACAAAGTAACGGCACATGTGGTTCAGAGGTAGGGAAGAAAGCGCGGAACGGAGAGGGGAAGAGAGACGCGGTTCGGAGGGAGCGAGGGAGGCGCGGAACGGAAGGGGGAAGGGAGGGAGAAACGGAGGGAGGAACGAAGGGTAGACGGGAGGCGCGAGCGTCAGCGTCAAAACGCCATCGCCAACGCCAGCGCCAAAACGCCAGCGCCAGCGCCAGCACCAGCGCCAAAACTCCAGCGCCAGCGCTAGCGTAAAACGCCAGCGCCAGCGCCAGCCAAAATGCCAAAACACTTGCGCCAACGCCAGCGCCAGCGCCAAAACGCCAGCGCCAACGCCAAAACGCCAGTGCAAGCGCCAGAACGCCAGCGCCAACACGCCAGTGCCAGCGCCTATGCTAGCGCCTATTCGCCATTGCCAGTACCAGCGCCAGCGCCAGCACGAGCGCCAGTGCCAGCACCAGCGCCAGTGCCAAATCGTCAGCACCAACGCCAAAATGCCAGCGCCGAAACGCCAGTGCCAGCGCCAGCGCCAGCGCCAGCGCCAAAGCGCCAGCACCAAAGGGCCAACGCCAAAAAGCCAGCGCCAGTGCCAGTGCTAGCGCCAAAACGCCAGCGCCCGGCGCCAAATCGCCAGCGCCAGTGCCAGCGCCAGCGCCAGCGCCAAAATGCCAGCGCCAAATGCTTAGCGCTAGAGCCAACGCCAGCGCCAGCTCCAAGGAAACGCGCCCAGCGGTTCTACGCTTACCGCGCAAATAAGCTGATTGAAACTTGAAAGTCTGGAAAGCTTGAGGGAAGGAATGCGAGGGAAGCTGGAAAGCTAGCTATGATGAATGAATGTCTGAACGAGAAACGCACGAGGAGCAGGAAACAAAAAACGCATTGGGAGGAGGAAGTAAGAAACGCACAGGAACGACGAAGCAAGAAACGTACACCCCATACCGATGCGCGTTTATTGTTTGCACAGAACATGCGGTACTATAGTCAGGTTTCTTAGGTAGTTGCCCGTTTCAACTTCAAGCTGGTACAAGCTTGTGACACCATATGCGATACTTGAGGTACCTCAGCCCATAATGATTAGGCTTCATAATGTTTCGTCAATGATTCATTAAACAGGAACAAGCAGGTTTCTTGCGTAGTTTTGGCTTCGGCAGGTGCTTCGATGTCAAATCCAGCATGTTACAACCTTATGCTATAATGATGAGGCTACAGAAGGATGTCGAAATCATTATATCAATATAAGCATGATATCATTACATGTGTCTACTTAAATCAATTTAACCATTATATAAGTATATTTATGTCAATATACGTAATACATACATCACACTAATCATTATGTGAAAACCACTATATAAATATTATTAGTGTCAAACATAAGCATAACTCATGTTTGTATAGACTGTATAGGGTCGCCTCTTAGAGGGTACAACACTCTTAGGTATATACCCTTGTACTCTCTCTCTATTAAAATTCTTCAGTTCTAAGATAGTATCAGCAGTAGGTAGGTCCCACCGCCCCCCCACGCTTCCGCCCTAGGATCTACCCCCGTGCGTCGCGCCCCCTAGGCCCCGTCGCGTCACCTAGGACCAGTCGCGCCCCCCCCTGGGCCCGTCGCGCCCCCCTGGGCCCCGTCGCGTCACCTAGGACCAGTCGCGTCCCCCCCTGGGCCCGTCGCGCCCCCCTGGGCCCCGTCGTGTCCCCTGGGCCCCGTCACGCCCCCCTGGGCCCCGTCACGCCCCCCTGGGCCCCGTCACGCTCCCCTGGGCCCGTCGCGCCCCCTAGCATTCGTCCCGCCCCTCCTAGGCCCCCCGTTGGTGCCTCCTGGCCCTGTCGCGCGACTCCTAGCCCGTCGCGCCTTACCTAGCCTGTCGCGCCTTTCCTAGCCCGTCGCGCCTTTCCTAGCCCGTCGCGCTTCCTAGTCCGTCGCTCCAGCCCCGCGACCGTCCCAGCCGGCCCCGCGACCGTCCCAGCCGGCCCCGCGATCGTCCCAGCCGGCCCAGCGCCTGTCCCAGCCGGCCCCGCCACCGTCCCAGCCGGCCCCGCGATCGTCCCAGCCGGCCCCGCGCCCGTCCCAGCCGGCCCCGCGACCGTCCCAGCCGGCCCCTCGTGCCCGTCCAGGCCGCCCCTGCACCCGTCCCAGCCGGCCCCGCGCCTGTCCCAGCAGGCCCCGCGCCCGTCCCAGCCGGCCCCGCGCCCGTTCCAGCCGGCCCCGCGCCCGTCCCTGCCGGTCCTGCGCCCGTCCGAGCCGGCTCCCGCGCTTGTCCCGGCCGGCCTCGCGTCGACTTCCGGCCCTTCCTCGCCGGCCCTACGACCGTCCGATCTGCACTCTCTTTGGTACGGTTCTCCACCACCTTTCACCGCACTGTACCGCACTGCACCGCACCGTACCGCATTGCACTACGCTGCACCGCACTGCACCGCACTGTACAGTCCTGCACTGCCCCTGATGGCGGCGGAGCTTCGCTTCGACGCTGAAGGCCAGCCTCTGGAGTTCGAGGCGTGGCTTGCCAACCTCCGGCGTCAACTCTCTGGCCAGCGGCAGGATGGTGACCCCCTTTCCGCACACCTTGACGGTACGCTCCCCTGCCCACACCCCCCCGCTGTTCTGCCCGCTGACTCCGCACCCACTGAGCGCGAGTCTACTGCTGCCACTGCCCGTGCGCACTCTATCTGGCTTTCTCGAGATGCTGTCGCTCAGCTTGCCATTAGCAATGCCCTTCCCCCGTCCGAGCGCCCCCGCTTTAGGTCCCTCACTACTGCCCAGGCTTACTTAGATGCTGTCATCAAGCGCTATTCCACCCCTCCGACTGCCTCGGTGGGTCGCCTGATCCTCCCGATGCTCTTTCCTGACCTTGCGTCTTTCCCCACTGTCTCTGACCTCGCTGCCCACCTGCGCTCGATAGATGAGACCTGGCGCGCTGCCTGCACTGACGCACAGCTTAGAGCCCACCACCCGCCCATTACCTCTACCCTTTACCTGCTTGCCACCCGCCTCCCTGACCGCCTTGCTGTCGCCCGCGACCGCTTCCTTAGCATTCACCCCGCAGACCTCACCCTCACTGACTTTGTAGACACCCTGACTGTGATTGAGACCCGCCACCGCTCCATCGCCGAGGCGAGCGGTACCGTGCCGGTCCCTATCTTTCAGGGTTGTGCCCCCGCTCAGTGTACTTTCTTCGACGGCTCTGCCGCTGTGGATGAGAATGCTGCTGCAGCGCAGTTTCGTTCGGGGAAGGGCCGCCGCCCCAAGGTTGGGCGCGGCGGAGGAGGCGGGGGTGCGGGAGGGGGTGGTGGTGGAGTCGGGTCGTCTGGTGCTGGAGCGGACGAGGGGACCCTGCCCCGAATAGTCGGATTCCCCGAATTCTTCCCTTAGGGGACTCACTGTCGGATAGTGTAGGTGTGCCTAGCTTAGCCTCCCCTGCTGCGTCAGGCATAGGATCTTGGTGCTTCCGCCGTCGTTCCGTCGCCAGACGCCTCTGCTTCGCTTTCCTTCACCTTGGACTCTGGTGCTTCCCGGTGTTTCTTCCGCGACTTCACCACACTGACGCCGCTTCCTGTTCCTGCTGCCGTTTCTCTTGCTGACCCCTCTGGCGGTCCGGTAGTCGCCCGCAGTTCCACCACCCTTCCCTGTCCGGCGGTTCCTTCGGGCTCTCTCACAGGTCTGCATATCCCCTCGTTCTCCAGGAACCTAGTTGGTGTCGGCTGCCTCCAGGACCTTGGCGTCACCACTACGTTCCCTGGTCACGAGCGGTATGCTGTCTGTACCGAGGCCGCCACCGGTGCCCCCCTGTCCACGTTCCCCCGGGACCCGGTGTCCGGCTTGTTCACTCTGGACACCGTGACCCCCCCGGCTGGAGCGCTCCCTCAGGTGGCTGCGTCTACCCAGGTTGCTGCTGCCTGCTCCTGTCGGTCCCTCACTCACCCGACTCTCCTTTGGCACCACCGCCTAGGTCACCCTGCGCTCCCGCGTCTCCGTCACATGTCCCAGCACGGTCTTGTCCTTGGTCTCCCAGGTTCTCTCCCCGCGTTTCCCTCCTCCCCAGCCCCACCTTGCACGCCTTGTGTCGAGGGTCGGCTTCGCCGTGCCCCTCACTCCTCCTCGTTTCCCCCTACCGCCGCGCCGCTGCAGACCCTGCACCTGGACGTCTAGGGCCCCGCCCCCGTCCCTGGGCCGCGTCGCGAGCGCTACTTCCTTGTGCTAGTCGACGACTTTACTCGCTACACAACAGTCTTTCCCCTGGAGCGCAAGGCCGACGTGCCTGGTGCTCTCATCCCCTCGCTTGTCTCTGCGCGT